TTGAAATATACATATTTGTATATATAGCCTTAAAACTAATGCAGAGTTAGGGAACACGGAACAGTGAAAAAGTAACTTATAGTGTCTTGGAACTAAGTATAGTATATACCAGCAAACTTTTCTTTTATCCCTCTTGTCTATGTGGGGTGCTTAAACGTAACTTCATTGTATTCAGTTTGTAATCTGTTCAAGCATGAATGAAGAAAACATAAGCACTATTTGTATTTATAAATTTATAGCAATTTTTGCTTAAAGAACCAGTTCCTTACCTACCTATGAATAAATGCTTAAAATGTCTAATTTTGTTGTAGAGTGCAAAACTATAATAATGTTAAGTTATAGCTTCACAGGCACCTAATTAACAAGCATATTTAATAATACATGGCGTATTAGTGCAAAAAGCTAGACCTGACTTAGGACGAGGCAGATAAAGTTCTGTCCTTTTTCATAGAGACTAGAGTTTAGTTTTGGAAACCGCAAAACCTTGAACTGGACTGTGGAACCTTTGAGTTTTAAACTTTGAAAATCGGAAGCAAAACTGTGGTGTGAAAAGCCATACTTCAAACCGTAATCACTTAAAACTGTCTCAGTGACGATGTATTTGAAGCCTCTTCTTGTGAGGTCTCCTAAAGGTTAGAAAGAAAATAATTCTGCTGTTGCTACAGGCGTTGTAACTAGGTTTGAGGGTAGCGGAAGAAAGCCCGTTTCAGGCCTTTCTCTCTCCCACCTATGTTCAGCGTTTTGATGAGGTCAGAGCACTGAATCTTATTACGTATGCAAAAACACTGCCATTTTAGATACAGATTTTGATTACAAAATATATGAATTAAGTATATAAAGCATCCGAGAAAAGAGGCAAGCTGTACTTTTCACTGCTCTGAAAAGAAAAAGGCACTTTTGCACCTTTGTGCATCTCCTTGTTGCACCAGAAACTTTTTTTTAAATGCTAAAAACATTAGCACCTCAGGGGCAAGGCAGCAATTTTATTTTTTTTTTAAAGTATTGTGTGCTATTTATTTCCCTCTTGGAAAAAGATTCCTGTGTGACAAAAATGAAAACTGTGTGATTTTAAAAGATGTATTTTTAAATACATGTTCCAATAGGATGGTCCCAATTTGCTTGTTTTTAAAAGGAAATGATATTTGTAAAGCTACTTTGCTTCGTATGCCATGCAACTTTGTTTTCCTTCTACATTTGACAGCTTCACTGGCTTCAGTTTCTGTGAGTTTTGTTATAGTCAGATTAAATGTTTCACTGATCGTTCTGGGAGAATACCTGTACTGCTTTATAGACAACTGTTTCAAATAATTCTCACTAATTCAGCATTGAAATATGTTCAAGACAGAGGCTTCTAAAATGTGTTTTAAAACCAATGTTGGATTAGCTAAATGCAATTACATTAAATAGGGTCCTAGATTTGCAAGGCTCTGTAAATCCGTTGTATCAATAGACTCCCCGGTACATGTGGTGGGGCAGAAATCTGCAGGTCCCCTGCAAGTTACGCAGCCAGGGCCTTTCAGCTGGCTTGCTCTTGCCCAGCCAGGAAGCACCACCGCAAAGACCTTGATGCGTGGCCATTGTTCATTTTCCTCTTCCAGCAGAAGTCAGAATCTGAGAGAGAAACTTCATCTGCTTGTCATTAAACTACGCTGAATTGCGGTAATCCTAGGTTGTGTCATACTAGCAAGATGCCTGATGAGTATTAAGCAGCAGATGAGTAATGGTAGTGCTCACCTTGATCGTTCATGCAGGTGCCAGAGCTAATCATTTTAACGTGTACTTCAGATAAACTGACTTCAGCATCCATTAAATTGTTTATTGCAAAGCTGGTACTGACTCAACTATATGGGTTAAAATCTGAGCCGTTTTGCTCAGTTCAAGAATTGGAAACTTAAAAAGGTGATTTGATGAAATTGGGGAACGGTTTTCACTTCAATTGATTCCCTGATAAGAATCTCATCTTAATTTGTTACACTGGGATAGGATGGACTTCCTATTGCATTTCACTTTTTAGTAATTTACAAACTAAGGATATGGTTTCATGATCAACTTATACCGAGACTAAACTATTGTTAGAAGTTTGCCCCTACTGCCCTTTTTGTGCCAGCAGTCATGCTTACGTGGCCATGCAGTTAGGAGAAAAAAAAAAATCTGTACTTTTCGGCTGGGTAAATTGATAATCCAGCTATGGGATGCTGGTACTAGGGCAAGATGCAGAGTGGGGAGACGGGATTGAGAGCAAAGGAATGGTTGCACCACTCCTGCTGCCGCAGGTTGGGAAACCACACCCTAAACACGGATAAATGATGGGCCTGTGTAGGGAGTATCGAAGCCTTTGCAGATCTTTCTCTGCTCTGTACTTAGGAGAAACATTTTGCTTTGGTAAACATTCTTTTTCTTAAAACTGGGATCGTGAGACTTTGGGTTTAATGTCTTGTGTGTGAGTTCCATGCTGACAAACTTACTTTGTGTTCGCTCCCTCTAGCTGTACGTGGCTCTGTCCTGTGGGATAGGCGGCGTGGCTGCCACAGTTAGGTTAATGGTACGGTTGTTACAGTTCACCTTATTTCAATGTACATCAGGATTTCTTCATGCCGAGATGTTTGCCTTCATCTCTACCTGCACCTTCTTGAATTGCTTTTATGCGCAGATGACTTGGTATATTTCAATTTCTTGATATTTAAACTTGGCCATGTCTGTAACGGGCTAACCTTTAGTAAAATGTTACCCTTTTCCTCATCGTTTGGCAAATACAGTATTTTAATACAAATCTAATGTACCTTGCATAGGTTCAGAAACGGCAAAGCTCTGTAGAGCTATAGAGCTGTACCTGACAGTTTTCTGTAGAAAATGGGAGTGTTACTCTGTGTCAAGCTTCATAAGGTGTGAAAATAACATCTCCTAGATAACTTAGTGTAGCTCCTTGTTCCTACAGCTATGTGTGTTTGAGATGATCATAACCCAAGCCTTTATATACCAATGCAGGGTGTAAAGTCTCTACTTGGCTGGATAGATTTTTTTTTTAACTCTTTAAGTGGTAAAAAGAGGCTCCACACGTGAATTTCTAGGATGCTGTAGTGCATAAAATGATTGTGATTCCTGCTATAAGCTGTAAAAATGGAGCGAAATTTAAAAGTAACAATCTGGGGCTAAGTACTTTTGACTGACCTGTCTGTGGAATATTGATCAGAGAATCCAGTCTTTTGGTGAGCTCTCTGAGCTGTCTCTGTGGAGTGCTTGCACGGTCTGCAGGTCTCTGCAGACCCAGGCGTGCACCTTCTGAACCTCTTCGTAGCTTTATTTTGCTTAATGTTGCTTTGTAAATGAGGTAGCAGTCACCTGGGCTGTGGCATTTGTTCACAGAAGTTCAAGAAGCTGTAGGAAAACTTAAAGCTTTTCTTTATTCTCATGGACCACTAAATGCTTTCAAGTAAAAAAAAAAATATACAGCGTGCTAAAAGTTGAGTTTACATTATCTCCCACTGAAAACTTGTTTCTAGAAAAATCTACAAATATTTCTACTATTTACTTAATATGTGAAAAAATGTCTGGAGCTTTAATCTCCTGGTTGTATCGGAGTTGTTGACCTATAGTGACCTAGGCTCTATGCATATTCCTTGCTTTATCTATGTTTTTATTTGATGTTCCTTTTGAGTAGCAGTAAACCAGATCTTCCCCCCCGCCACGTAGGCACTCTTCTAAAGTCTTTGCTTCCAAGCTAAGAGAACAGGAGTGGTAACGGTGTCTTAGGAAAGGGGTTCTGGGGAGGCTTGCCCTAACCTTTGCAACCACAAAATTTGGGAAAATGGGCTTAACTTCCAAAATGCTTTTTATAGAATTAATGAAATAGTTCTATTCTGAAAGTGTCAAAACTTCGGTAGAGGTGGGATGACAGGTCAGATTTCTAGAGTATGTATTGTTTTATGCCTAGCCAGATTTTTGCACTGAACTTCTACTGATTCCTGCCCAAATGCTTTTTAAAATATCACTAGACATCTACTTTTTTCTTTTTCTCCCCCCCTCTTCCCCCCCCCAAAAAAAAACCCCAATGGTCCTCACTGCTGTGTAACCAGCCATTTATTTGCAAGGGTGAGTGCTGTGTCAGACAGTAACACTTTCCTTTAAGAGCACTAGATCTGCACTTCTCGGCTCGCTCAGTAACATTGAGCCAAAACTGAAATTCATTTTTGCTTCCATTAACTGTACGGCTCTGAAGAGCTGGTGGGAGCCTGGTTTTTCTACAGCTAAAGTAGACAGGACTCTCCATACGTATTGTGAGTAAGGCTCCAGAGTTGAAGGAGGTCCCATTGTTGTTTCTTTTGAGAGACACCTTTGAGAAGAAAAAGGAGAAAACTGACTGGCGGGTCATAAAACATTACGTACTTTTACTTCTATTGATGCCTATAGATGAAGGTCCAGAGTTTAATCTCACTTGCGTTGCTGAATTCAACCCAGTCTGAGCAATGGAAATACTGAGTAGCCCATTTCATTGTCACTGTTGGGGTTTCAGGCTGAAGCACAGTATTTTGTTCCAAGTACAGGGGAAAA